TCTCTCTCTCTCTCTCTCTCTCTCTCTCTCTCTCTCTCTCTCTCTCTCTCTCTCTCTCTCTCTCTCTCTCTCTGATATTGTGCTGGTCTCTTCATCTCGAGCAGGCGGGTGTGAAGCGGATCGTGACCCGCGCCGCAGCACCACTATATTTGGTTTGTTTTTCCGCTCTGCTGTTTAAAGTAGCTGCTACTGATGTGCAGGAGGAACATCTCTCTGCCCATAATTCTACTTCCTGTAAACATGTCAGGCGCTCTGAGCAGCGCGTCTGTTTGCTTTGCTCTTCTGTTTCAGCGGACGAGACACCACGCTGGTGACTGAGTTACGGCTCTTCTCTCCAAACGCTGAATCCATCATGTTTTATGAGCTTCAGCTTTTCAGCTGTGTTTCGCTGCTTTTCTGATCATGAACTCAGCAGGATGTGTGAATGCAAACACGCATTAAGATGTTTTTCTCCTCAGTTTGGCTCTAAATCAGCATTTTATCAGTAGTACACTTTGAAAATCCACATCAAATTATCCCATATTTAATTCTCATCAGAAGAGTTTTTCTCAGACAATTCTTTGCAACTGCTTTTGAGTTGTTTCTGATCATGAATTTAGCAGAAACAGGTGTTTAAGTGCAAATATGCATTAAGTTTGACTGTTTTCAATGCTGATATATTACAAATCTGGTTTAATGATGCAGTAATTATTTAATGCAACATTTACTTTATTCTCATCAGATTGATTATTTTTTTTAAATAATATTTTAAATATTTTTTATATTTATATTATAATGTTTTAGAAACTATTTTTAATAATATTTTAAATAATACTTTTAAAAATATTTTAAATAAGTAAAAAAAAAACGTATTAAATTAGTTAAAAAGTATTCATTATTTTTCAATATTTTTAAATAAAATTCTTAAATTATTTTAAAATGATAACTATTATTACTTTTAACATTTTTGATTATTTTTAAATGCAGTTTGTTCAAACAGCTGGATAAATGCGTTGACTTCAGAATCACACGGGCGCATCGGAGGATTCGTCTCGACTCTAAACATGGCCAATTATGGTGTTTGTGTTTCATTCACTGGTTTAAGGTCACAGAGACGAAACTCCTGGCGTCCGTCCACACACACGACCCGCACTTCATCACCGAGCGTGGCAGATCTTAACTTCCGAGCGCTCAGATTAAGCAGTGTAGAGATCTGTCAGGTCTAGTTATAGTTAACGAGGAAGAGCTGTCTCCCGTCCGGTTAGATGGACCGCTGAAAATCATGATGATAATGTTTCTAATATCTTAATATCTTCATGCCTTATAGTTGCATTGATCAGATTAGAGCTTGATGATAATAGTTATATTTTGCGACAGTATAGTCAATCAAGCAGTTGAGATTTGCTGCATAGTATGTGTTTCTTTACGTGAATGTGCTGTAAGTACAGTATGTATGTATGTATGAGCCACTCAGTCAAACCACTGACACTGCGTGTGTGTGTGTGTCATTGAACCTGGGGGATTGTGGGTAACTGGTACGGTTTGTGCCGTGACGGGGATTAGAGCTGGTTTGGGTTTGTGTATCTGAACCCTGCGGATCACATTCACTTCCTCCTGACTCCAACAGAACTCACATTAGACAAACTCAAGAAACGCGTCACATTTTAGCTTTTAATATTTTTTTTAATGTTTATTTTTATATGGTCTATGTATTTGGGGGGGGGGGTGAGTTATTTTAGTTTCTCGAACAAAATTAAAATGAACTTTTGCTGTGGCAACTAGTTGAAATAAAATAAGTTCAAGTTTTTTTTCATCAAGTAATGTTTTTTATGGTGTTAATAATCCAGTCCCATTCTTCCACTTGTTTTATTTGAAAGTTTTTATAATGTTATGCATATAGTCCAACTGATGTGTGGATCAGTAACTCCATCTGTTCCCTTCTCTCTCTCTCTCTCTCTATGTTGTGTTTCTCAGGCTGAAGGCGGCGGAGGAGAGTTTCCGGCAGGTCAAAGAAAAAGCCACATACAGCGTCAAACCCAAACATGCGTCTGGAATCGTAAGTCCGTTTATTCACAGCGCACATGGTTTCAAAGCAGCTTTACTGAAATATCTTCATGCCTTAGTCGCATTTATCATTAGAGCGAGCTAGACAATCAGTCAGTTGAGATTTGCTATATAGTATATATTGTTGTATATACTTACAGTAGTTGTAGGTTGGAGTTATTAATTCATTATGCGTATGAAATCTGTACAGTTTCATTTCCACCAATTTGATGCAGCGAGGAGCTTCATTACTATTAGATGACGTGTATCACTGACAGTGAAATGATGCACAAGAAAGACAGGGTTAAAATGCTTTATTAAACTCCATGAATGTCTGTTGAGTGAGTTACTGAACCTGCAGAGGCCAAAAACACTGATGCTGAGATATTCCTGTAGCTCATACAGCAGGTCATGCGCATGCAACGTCAAATAATGGGTTCGATTCCCAGAGTGTGCATGAACTGATCAAAGTCACTTTGCCAGATGCATGTAAATGTTTTTAAATGCAGTGTTACATTTTAAAAGTTACTATGGACTTTTTATCTCACAATTCTGACTTTTTTCTTGCAATTGTGAGCTTAAATATCACAGTTGACTTTATAACGCAGTTGCGAGTTTATATCATGCAGTTGTGAGGAAAAAAAAGATTTAAACTTGCAATTCACCTTTATTTGTATAGCGCTTTATACAATACTGGTTGTCAAAGCAGCTTTACAGTGTTAAACAGGAAAATAGTTTGTCAATAATGCAAGAAGACAATAACAGAAAAGCAAAACGAAAAGCAACGGTCCTAGTACTGAGCCTTGTGGCACTCCATACTGTACTTGTGATCTATATCTCGTCATTTACTGCTACGAATTGATGACGGTCAGATAAGTAAGATTTGAACCATGACAATGCAGTTCCACTAATGCCACTAATTCTGTGAAATAAGTCAGAATTGTGACATCTAAACTTGCAATTGCATTATAAAGTCAGAATTGCAAGGTATAAACCAGCAATTCTGACTTTTTTTCTCACAATTTATATCTCACAATTCTGATTTTATAACATGCAATTGTGAGTTAGAAAGTCAGAATTGAGAGACAAACTTGCAATTGTAAGAAAATATTCTCTTTTTCATCAGAATTGGACTTTATAACATGCAATTGCGAGTTTATATTTAAAAATTCTGAGAAAAGAAGTCATAATTACGAGATGTAAATTTTTGCGAGCAAAAAGTCAGAATTGTGAGATAAAAGTCGCAATTACCTTGTTTAATTGTTTATTTAGTGGCGGAAACAGGCTTCCATAAGTAACACATTTTGACGGCCATAAGTATATGAGCTCAGATGCTTTGACTCTGTAGTTTGGATGCTCATCTCTAATCGCTCCTCATGATCCTGAGATGATAATGAACTTGTCATGCGTCTTTAGTCCTACAGCAACTGCACTGACCGTTATAAAAGTGTTTCCAGTGAGCTACGAGAAATTCACATGCAGATTTACTTTCGGGATGTAAACTGAGATTGTGAGTGCTGCATGTGCTTTCATCACTAAATGAGCGTCCTTTTTTTCCTCTCAGAAAGCAAAGCTGGGCATGAAGATCTGAGGCGGATGTGAACTGACAGACGGACGCTCTTGTGCCGTTTCATCTGTAAATCGCTCTCGCAGCAGCTTCAGTGTTATCTGCCGTACCACACAGGAAGTGATCCGCCGTCTGAATGTGATGTCATATCCTGTGTCCTGACGGATGAACATATCAGACGTTTGCTCCACCGTACATACTGGAGGACTGAAGCAATATCATCAAAAAAAAGTCATTTTATTTTTAACAGATCAGAAAAGGCGAGAGAATCAGGATTTCCGATGCATCTTCATTTTAAACATCGGCACCGTCAGACGCTTTTAAACCAACACTAGTTAATGCAGTTTAGTCCTGTAGTCTTCAGCCCAGTTAACATGTTCAAAGCACACTCCAGTCCTACAGGACCTAAAAGAGACACTCCAGTATGTACAGTATGAATCGAATCAGATCAGACAGTGGCGAACGATCAGGAATCAACTCAGTGTTTTTGTGAAATTGTGCAAGATTGTTTTCTGGTTTTGCTGCATCCACTCACTCACTCTATGTATTTAAGAAGATGTTTTTTAAATTAATGTAAATTATATTAACATCTTTATGTAGCATTCTGGTTTGTTTTTAGCATGTGCGTGTCGGAGGTGTGGATGGGTGTCTGCGCTCCATGTGCAATAACTGTTTGTTTCGGAACGTTTTGAGAAGTGTAATTTATGTAAAATAAAGGGATTAATAAATTCAGACATTTTAATTTATTTCACACGATTGGAGATTTACTTACATATTCGCCATGGGAATCTTATCTTATGAATCTCTTCAGGATTCTCAAACAAGCATTTTGGTTCATTTTGTTGGTTATTATTCAGACACTAATAAGAGTTCAGGACTCTTAGCTCAGTTTAACACATTTCACCATGTTAAAGGGACGTTCACACCAAAAACTTCATTTCAAACAAATCATTTCAAATAATAGGATTAACAATATGGAAAAGGCAACAGATATTGCATTCTCATGGTCTGTTCTTCTGATTTAATGAACATATCCCATTAAAAAAATTCACTGGAATGCATACGAATCTCCCCAAATCCTCATCCACGTCTCTTTCCCGGTTTGTTTTTTATGTGGATATTTTACAATGTCTTTTTCTTCCCTTTACTGGAAGGTTTCAAAGCAGGGAAATACTATTCATGTCAAAATGAGGGAAAGTACTTTGAAATGTCCATCACTCTTCCAGATAATGCACGTAGGAAAAGGGTTGATATTAGCGTCCACACCAAAGGACAGTAACATAGTTTATTATAAGCACACACTTAACAAAAAAATCACTCTGAAAATCATCGTTATCTTATGGAAGCCTGTTTCTGCGACAAAATAATAATAATAAATAAAAAAGGTAATTGCAACTTTTTATCACAATTCTACATTTTATAAAGTTTATATCTCAGTTTTCTTAATTCTGAGAAAAACGTCATTTGCATGCAAGAAACTCAAAATTGCAAGACAAAAACTTGCAATTCAGAGAAAAAAGTCAGAATTGCAAGAGATAAACTTACTTTTTCTTGCAATTCTCACAATTGACTTATTTTCTCTGAATTCTGTTTACATCTTGCAATTGTTTTTGTTTCTACCATAAAATAAAAAATGGTAATTGCGACTTTTTTTTAATCTGACAATTTTGACCTTTTCTCGCAATTGCATGCTTATATTTTGCAATTCTGCCTTTTTTCTCCTTTCTGCGTGATATAATCTCAAAATTGAGATATAAACTCAGTTCTGTGAAAAATGTCATAACTACAAGATATAAATTAAAAAAGAATGAATGACTTTTCTCTGATTTCTGACTTATCTTACAATTCTGAATTGTGAGAAAAATTCTGAACTGTGAGATATAAACCCAGAATTGCAAGGAACAAAGTCAACATTGTGAGATTAAAAAGTCCATATCATATAGTTGTGATGTGACTCAACTATTCTCTTATAGTTACAACGATTATTGAAACTTTGTCATAGTTATCATTCCTGGTGTGAACGGGCCTTTATATCCAGTACACCAATTTTCCCGACAAAAATCTGCAGATTTGCATTGGATCTGCATTGGATTGATCACTGAGGTTCTCAAACGTAATAATGTGAATCTTCCAGGGTTTTTAAATGGTGCAAATCAAGCTCTACTGCAAGATAACTACTAACCAATAGAGAAAACCCGACTGGATTAAACCACATGAAGGCTAGTTTTCCCATGTCAGCTCTGGACTGAACTCCTCAAGAACAGAAGACGAGAATAGAACTCAGTATTTTTAATATAGACTTCAGTTATTTCTCTACATATATATATACTTTTGCTGTACCATATTTCCATAGAATCTCTATAATCAGTCTAGTTATGCATGTTTGGTGTTCACTATCATCAATCGTCACACAGGCAGCAGCTCCTGGATAGAGTTCAGTGTTTAGTCAATTCTCTGCACGTCAGTCAGTTTCCACACACTCTCTAGTGACTGTTTGAGACCATTGGTGACTGATGGTGTCCAGTGGTGACCGATGATGACCGATAGTGACTAATGATGACTTACAGTGTCCATTGGTGACTGATAGTGATTAGTGGTGACCGATAGTGATCAGTGATGACTGTTGGCATTAGTGCTGACCGATAGTGATCAGTGGTGACTGTTGGCACTAGTGCTGACCGATAGTGATCAGTAGTGACCGTTGGCACTAGTCCTGACCGATAGTGATCAGTGGTGACTGTTGGACACTAGTGCTGACCGATATTGACCGGTGTCCAGCAGGACAGTCTTGCGATGACGTGATGAAGCCTTGCAGTCTTTCAGCTCAGATTAGCAGCAGGACTTTCCAGTGAAACGTCGTCAGGATCTCACTGTTTCCCAGACTCGGACACGCTGACGGACATGCAGCGGCACTGCTTGACGCGCTGGATCTTGCGATAGCGGACGTCCGGCTGCAGGTCGGGGCAGTCGAGCTCCACGGTGAGGCTGGTGAAGCGCTGCGGCCTGCAGAAGGCGCAGGACTGGAAGGACTCCTGCTCCTTCCTGACGTGCCGCGGGATGTAGAAGGAGTTGCACTGGCCATAACAGAAGCGGTTGATGACGGTGCGGCTCTTGCAGCCCTCCTGACTGACCATCTGCCGTAGCGGCTGCGTCTTGCACCAGTCGCTCTTCAGGTACTTGCGCTCCGTTACCACCAGAGCTTCCTGGCTGGAGGCCAGCACTTCCTGTTTGCGGGCGCGCCGGTCGGAGGTGTTGGAGCCGGTTTTGTGGGGCGACGGGATGGATCCCTGCGGTCGGGTCTTACGGCCGGTGGAGGCGACGCACAGCAGGCCGGCGAGCAGCAGCCATAGCGCCACCTTACAGCTCATCCTGGAACAGACTGAGAGAGAGAGAGAGAGACTGTTAAAACATCAGAAACCACATCCTGTCTGACAGGAAGTCATGAGATGAGGGTGAGACGAGCAGCTGACCTCCTGACCCCTGATCATTACACACACCTGTGAGTATAAGATCATGCCATCAGCAATATTTTTGCTCTCTTTTGTTGGTTAATACAGGAAAGACTAAACATGAAATGCTTTTATGCTAAAAGTCGATTAATTTCACTAGTTGAGCTCCAAACTAAAAGACAAACTCCAACTCTGATTTAATCGTGTCACTGAGGAATAGGGTTAGGGTTAACTAGACTAGGGTTATGGTTTAGGGTTAGACTTTTTAATAGTTGTCACACCACAAATACTATGTAGACTTCATTCGCGCCTACCGTTTCTTTTATCTCTAGAGAATGAGTTAATTACAGACCGATCTTAAATCTACCTTTTCTGTCAAAGAGACTAGAAAAGGCAGTATCCTGTCAGCTATGTTCCTTCTTAGATTTAGTCAGGATTTAGACCGTATCATAGTACTGAGACTGCTCTCATTAGAGTTACAAATGACCTGCTCTTATCATCTGATCGTGGCTGTATCTCTCTATTAGTGCTACTGGATCTTAGCGCTGCGTTTGACACTATCAACCACAACATTCTTTTGAATAGACTAGAAAATTATGTTGGAAATAGTGGAATTGCATTGTCATGGTTCAAATCTTACTTATTTGACCGTCATCAATTCGTAGCAGTGAATGAAGAGAGGTATCATATTGATCACAAGTGCAGTATGGAGTGCCACAAGGCTCAGTACTAGGACCGTCGCTTTTCACGCTTTACATGTTACCCTTGGGAGATATCATCAAGAAATATGGTGTTAGCTTCCACTGTTATGTTGATGATACTCAGCTCTATATTTCTTTATGGCCCAACGAAACCTACCAATTTGCAAAACTAACGGAATGCATAGTTGATATAAAAAAACGGGATAACTAGTAATTTCCTACTGCTATATTCTGAAAAAAGCAGGTGTTAATTATCGGACCAAAAACCTCTGCATGTAATAATCTAGAACACTGTCTAACACTTGATGGCTGCTCTGTTAATTCCTCGTCATCAGTTAGGAATCTTTGATAATACCTAGAATATCAAAATCATCTGCGGGCGGCACATCTTTTTCCTATTTACCGCCCAAACTCTGGAACAATCTACCTAGCATTGTTCGGGAGGCAGGCACACTCTGTCAGTTTAAATCTAGATTATGCATGGTTCATAAACTTCATAAAATACCTTCATAAAATGATGGTTGAACCACTGATGTCACATGGACTATTTTAATGATGTCCTTACTTCCTTTCTGGGCCTTGAACGTGGTAGTTTTCTTGCTGTCTATAGAGGGTCAGAAAGCTCTCGGATTGTGAGAAAAGTTCTGAAATGTGAGATATAAACCCAGAATTGCAAGGGGGAAAAAAATCAGAATTGTGAGATTAAAAAGTCCATATCATATAGTTGTGATGTGACTCCACTATTAATAAAGTAGTTATCGCACTACAAACCAGGGGCTGAGCGCCATTCAGAACTGAACTGAAATGATGGCTTTTAAATTCCGATTCAATTCCTGAATTAGAATTTCAGTTTCACACACACTCTCTCACTCATGCACAAACACACTTGCATTTTAAAACCATGATTAATGATTAAAACACATTCAGTGGGACTCAATGTTATATGACCCTACAGTTCTGACCGTTCAGTTTGACTGAATCTCTCCTCGTGTTCTTTCTGGGGTCGAAGCGTTTGACCCTGAGCTTTCACTTTGTTTCCTGTGAAGACAGGAAGTCACAGATTAACTTTAATTTGTTACATTGTCTGCATTCAGCAGAGTTTCGGCGGCAGCCTGAATGATTACGGCTCTGGAACGAGAGCGAGCGATCCGTCAATCACGCCGGACATCTTTAGCACAGATGTGGCATCGCCGGAAGGAAAAACAAATGTGATTCATTCCCATAAACAAAATATTTACAAAGCGGCTCTTTTTCGTGAATCAAAGCCCCTCGCTTTCATTCCAGAGAGCGTCAAGGTTGAACCTTCCTTTTTAAGTTTTTCCTGTTCTTGATTAGAAATCTCCAGGAACGACGGGCTTTTGTTTTTCCTTTCTGAAGCCTGACGGCTCTGGGAGTCTCGTCTACACTCACTGTTGTTCGCAGTCAGCAGAACAAGGGCTGTTTGCATGAAGATGATGAATGAGAGTCGTTGCTTTAGTGTTGGGGATACGGAGTTTGATTTCGTGACCTCTGTGCAGACGCCTCATAAATCTCATGACCCTGAACTCGCTCTGTCTTAAACTCCTTGGTGTTTTGTTGCACAAGACATACAGCGTCACTGAGAGTCGATGACTGGAGCTCCGTCTCTCGGAGTGTCTCCAGAGCTGCTGAAGGTCAAATGGTGGAGACGCTTGTTTGATTTAGTCATTCCAGCTTTATTTGACCTGTCAGACGTGTTTCTCCCTCATCTGATAAGATGAAGCTCTCGTATGAGAGGAAACTCTTGTCTATATTTGTTACACATGAACCACAAAAAAAACTGGTGCAAATTTTTATTTTTTTTTACACTGATGAGAAACCTTCATTTAATATCATTGTGTGAAATTTATAAAAACATATAATCTGAGAATTATCAGTATTAACACCATTGGAATGAAAGGCATTTCGTTAAATTCCTTTGAATTTATAACTCACGATTGCTCAAAAACAATCCAAATGTATAAAACAAAACATAAATATTACTCTGAAAAATCTCAAACAAAATAAATAAATTTTACTTGCATAAACTTTCACTTTCAGATGAAAAACTGATGTTTTTCATGCTGCGATGGGTCATCAATAGACGTACATATTCATGTTCATCAACAAAATTCAGTCCCAAAAGTGTTGGCAAAATATGTTTTACAAAGTTGTTTTGACACTAATATAACTCCATAGATCATTTTACAAAAAGTACTTTTGACACCTAATGGGACTCCATACAAACCCGAAACGTGTAACTTTTTATAAATGGTTATCCCTCTTAAAAATCACAGAAAAAATCTGAAAGAAAAAAAAGATGTGTATTTTGAGGGTCTTAAAGCATTGGCAAAGTTTAGTTCGCTTACTACAAACCATTTGAGAGGAAAGGAAAGGTTGTGACCTTTGTTTAGGGTCGAGGAAGATGGGAGGGGTAACAGGAAGCGACATAAAAACCAGCCAATTACACTCTTCGAGAAAACAGTTCTGTGGGGTTCAATCTACAACCTTTTCTTTCAAGAGTGTAGATAGTTTGCCATAATATATATGTACAAAATACATTCATAAAACGGACTGATTTTAATTGGATGAGACGCAATTGAAAAAAAAAAAAAAAAAAAGTGAAAATACGCAGTTTGGTCACTCTAATTCATTATTTCAATTATCATTTTTAATACTTTCGCCTGCTGCTGCCTTTTTGTAAAAGCAATGACAATGTAATAAATAACACACTTCTGAAAGTGAACAGCGTGTTATCAAACAGTCAGTCACTTTCCAGAGTTAATGTTCACAGCGAACGCAGCGGCACTTGAGACGCCCACATCAACCACAATACACTCCTGTCACCCAACACACACACACACTCACTCACGCTCTCTCACACACAAACACACACACACTCACTCACTCACACTTAAACTCACACACTCTCACGCACTCACACACACACACACACACACACACACTCGCGCACACACACATGCACACACACTCTCTCACACACACACACACACACGTGCGTGCGCACACACTCTCTCTCACGCACACACACACACACACACACACATGCACACACACTCTCTCTCACACACACACACACACGTGCGTGCGCACACACGTGTAATTGCCAGCAGCTGGAAAGCTTTGTTTCTGCTAATGAACTATTCCAGTGTATGTGCAGATCCACCAGAAAGCAAAAGAGCGTTCAGAAAGAGCCTGCAGATACTCTAATTAACTGATTTCACACCGTTTCTAGAGCTCGAACTGATGGGTTAAAGTTGCATGTGTGCGTCGTCTAGTTGTAATTGAAATCTAAAGCTAAAGCTAGTTGTAATTGATTGTCTTGGTCGATTAGATCTGCTTGTATCTTGCTGCTTTGCTGCAGCTTCAGGAACTCCTGCCAGTGTCTCTGTTTGACAGCGAGCTTCTGATTTCAGAAATCTAGATGAGATCCGTTTGATTTCGAGTTTCAGACTCGTGTGAGCTCTGCACTGATTCTCTGATCTCTACATGTGATCCTCATGTCCATCTGTCTCTCTGCAGAGTTTGTTTAGAATCCATTTGAACTATTATAGAACTATTCCACATTCACTTCAATGAGAGTAAATGAGATGCACTGAACTGTAGAAAAATTATCATTTAAAAACATGAAACACTTAAGAATGTTTTAATGTTTTTCTTGGTTATACGAACATAAAGGCAACATTCCATTTGATCATTTCGCAAACATTATAGGAACGTTACTTTTGAATGTTCTCTGAACGTCCTGAAACAAGTAGATACATTGTTACACGAGCATCCAACTAAAAGCTAAAATCACTGAACGATGTATAAATGTCTTTGTGCTAACGGGTTGAGAAATTATTCAAGACTTTAACACTGTGGAAATTAAACTTAGTATTAAAAATAATTATTTTGAACAAATTCAGCACTTTTCTTAGGTGTGCAAACGTTAACATTCCATTTGATCATTTTGTAAACATTATGGAAATGTTACTTTTGAATGTTCTGAAACAAAGAGTTCAAAATAATTCTTGTAAACATATTAATGTTTTTAAAAAAAATTCTTGGTTATACAGACATTAAAGGTACATTTTATTTGAACATTTTGCAAACATTATCGGAAAGCTATTTTTAAATGTTCTCTGGAAACAAAAGGTAAAAAAAAAAAAAAAAAGTTCAAACATCCAACTGAAACAGAAATGAAATGTTCCATGAATGATGTATAAATTATGTTTTTGACATTAATACTGTGGAAATTAAACATCTTATTAAAAACAATTATTTTAAACATTTAAAAAGTTAGAAAATATCCTTATCCATCTAGTCAAGCTGGTTATTACTGATCCTCAGAATGGTCAAACATCAGCTGATTAATCGATATACGGCTAGTTCTGAGTGATTATGATTATAAAAGCATAGCAGAGTATGTTTGCAATGAAAGGAGTGTGTGAACGAAAGCTGCTGATAAATCCGGATCAAACACTCACACACAGCCTCACCTGGACGAGTGTGTGGTCAGAGACAGAGACGGAGCCGGTCCAGAGGCCAGGGGTCGTCCATGAACGGAGCCGACGAGGGCCTCTTCCCTGCTTCTGACGGGTTCTCTCGGTCTGTGATGCTGCTTTCTGGAGGAGACTCTATCAGTCTCTCTCTCTCTGTGTGTTTGAACTCGTCTCCGTCACTCGCATGTGGATCTTATCACACGGAGAGCTTTCTATTGGCTCTGATCAGCACAAGTCTCTCTCTCTCTCTCTCTCTTTAGTTTTCAGCTGTTTTCACTGCTTCTGACTTTTTCTGTTTGCAGACATCATGCAGGATCAGTCAGAGGTTTGATTTTAAATTGATGTAATGTTAATTAACAAGCATCATCCCAGATATCTTGACTTCAGTCATGGAAAAAAAAAAAGGTTTGAAGAAACTCCAAGTAAAAGGCATAATTTATGACAGTAGTTTATTAAATATGTAATAATTACACACTATATTTGGTTTTATTATTTGAAAATAACTTAAAAAAATATATAGTTTTTCATATTTTTTCCACAATTTAAGCATTTATTCTTAACTATATTTAACATTATAATTATTTTATATATATATATATATATATATATATATATATGGGTATAAATTAATATAAATGTATTTTATATGTATATATATATATATATATATATATATGGGTATAAATTAATATAAATGTATAGTTAATATAGTTTAAGATTTTTTTTTTAATGTTCTTTTTTGGCACTGGTGTTACTGTTGTTTGTGTGAATGCATGCGAGTATCTCTCATCCTAAATCCTTAATTTTTTCTTAAACACAGCTCTTATAGATGCGTTTAAAAATAACCATCTTACTGATTTCTAGTGTGTGACCAGGACTGAACTTCTATAATCAGGCTAGAGTTTGAACAGCTCTACTCGTGCTTTAGTCTGTTTCCAACATGTTAGAAAATAATGAAGAACACTCTGAAATCACACAAATGGAATCATGGGAATAATGCAGAGACACAAACAGAAGAAACTCTACGTTTACAAAACTTATGAAAAAACAAGAAATGTTGAAATGTCAAATTACTGCTAAAGTGTTTTATTGGCAAAATGTATTCATGAAAAAAAAAATGTAAATTTGTTATAAAATATTTTATAAATATAAAATGTTTTATTATAGTATAAAAAAGTCAAGCTGTTAATAAATGACATCAGCTTTTATGGCAGAAAAAATAACTTTTTTTTTGAGAATGAAATTAAAATGACATGAAAAATGAATGAAATCAATTTCTCCTGAGAATGAATGAATGATCATGAATTAATAATGACTTAAACCCAATCATGACCGAATCACTGCTATTCACTGCCCTCTGCTGTTCAGAACAACACAAATGATTCAGAACACAAGTGATTCAGAACAACACAAATGATTCAGAACACAAGTGATTCAGAACACAAATGATTCAGAACACAAGTGATTCAGAACGATTTACTGAGTCACTTTCATCTCCAGTCCCTTTATTTATGTAACTGTGGAATTATGTACAGAATCTATATCATAAACGCAGGAACCCAGACCGGATGAGCTGGTCGTTTCTCTCCGCTCATAATCTTTGGATCGCAGTCGTTTTCTGAAGAAACAGAACTCAAATGAAACACTGTATGATGCAGATCTCAGCTCCGTGTTGCTCAGGGTCCATAAATCACATCACGTTATCATCTCTCTTATTGAGTCCATAAATGAACATTACCTTATGGATGGTGCGTCATGTTTAATGTACAGATGGTAAATTATAGGTGTCCAAATATTATTATTATTAGCATCCATTACAGTCCACACTGTACATTATTTCACGTCCATCAAGCGGCAGTGACTGTATGAGTTCTCATCATAAATCACGCTGATTCTCCAGATCTGTACACACTTACAGAAGCAAAGCTTGCAGAAAACAAAACATGTTCTTAGATATAAAAATAACTAAGAGCTGAGATGGAGAGAAAGTGAGAAGCGTGAGCGCTGACAGAATGAGTGATTCTCCGGAGGATCCATGGCTCTTCTGAAAGTCCTGGAGAAGGTCCAGAGTGTTCGGCTCATGCTCGGTATAATCATCAGCATTAATGTACAGACGTGTAACGTGACGTTTGCATGATTTTACAAGCGCTTCGCCTGCTGACGGCATCTGAGAGAGAAACACACACACACACACGTCAAACAGCAGAAACTGCTGGAGTCCAAATGAAAGCAATAGAGTTCAGTTCTTCTGCTCTTCATAAAAAGCCCTTCCTGAGCCTCAGTCCTAAGTTTACTTTTCTCTCTTCAAAATGTTTTTCTCTTATATAAAAAAAAAAATTCTTTTTTTTCTCAAAAAATTTTTACTCACTTCAAAAATAAATAAATAAAAATTAGCAAACAAGCAAATAAATCCAAATTTAAAAAATCCAAATTTTTCTCTCTAAAGTTTTTTTTTCTCTTCAAAAAAATAAATAAAAATAAAATATCTCACCAAAAACATTTTTACTCTCTTCAAATGAATAACGAAAACAAAAATAAAATAAATTCCAAAAACTTCTCTTCAATTTTCTGTCCTCAAAATGAAACAAAACAAAAATCTCTCACTAAAAGCATTTTTACTCCATTCAAAAAAACAAATCAAATTTTTTTCTTCTAAAAAAAAAAAAAAAATTCTCTCAACTAAAACATTACTCCTCAAAAAAAATATGCAAATAAAATGCTAATGTTTTCTCTTTAAAAATTTCTCTCTTCAAAATGTTTTTCTCTTATATAAAAACAAAACAAAAAAAAACAAACAAAAAAACATTTTTATTCTCTTAAAAAAAATAAAATAATATAAACAAATAAATAAAAATAACAAAATCCAAATTTTTCTCTCTATAACTGTTTTCTCTTACAAAAAAAAAAAATTTTTACTCTGTTCAAAAAAATAAATAACTAAAACAAAAATAAAATAAATTCTCAACAAAAACATTTTTACTCTTCAAAAAAATTAAATAAATATTCAAATAAAATTCTAAAATTTTCTCTCTTCAAAATGTTTTTCTCATATATATATTAAAAAAAACACTTTTAACAAAGACATTTTTATTCTCTTAAAAAAAGAAATAATATAAACAAATAAATAAAACTAACAAAATCCAAATTTTTCTCTCTATAACGGTTTTCTCTTACAAAAAAAAATTCTCACAAAAAACATTTTTACTCTGTTCAAACAAATAAATAACTAAAACTAAAATAAAATAAATTCCAAAAACTTTTTTCTCTTCCAATTTTTTCTCCTCAAAACGAAACAAAACAAAAACTCTCACTAAAATAATTTTTACTCTGTTCAAAAAAAAAATTATCCAATTTTTTCTCACATTTTCTCTCTTCAAAATTTTTTTCTCTCTTAATAACTAAAATGTATTTTTTCCCCACCTTGAGATTTTTATTCACATTGTGGTTCAGGCTTCTGTAATATATACACTGGACACAAGTAAACATACAGCATACAGTGTGCTCATGTAAAGCGGACTCTTTATATCGTCATTAATGTAACTCTATTATTGTCCAGCTCTAATCTGTTCAATGCATCTATAAGATATTAAGATATTATAAACATTAACATCATTATTTTCTGTAAAGCTGATTCAAACAATGTCTGTTAAAAATGAAATACAAATGAATTTGACGACAGATTTGTAGCTTCATCACATTATAGAGCTGTTTACGCTCTATTCTCATCATTCAGTTTAATATCCATGCTCTGATATTTGAAATAATGCAAAGCTGAAACTCACCTGAGCTTCAGACCCTAGAAAAGGTTCTTGCTTTTCTGTGAAGGAAAAGAGAAAGAGTTGATGAAGGGATCAAAGCCGCGAGACGATCGAGTGTGTCGAAGAAAAAGTGCTACATACATGAAAGAACAATTACATTCTCTAGTTCCCCAAACACTTACAGTTTAAGATTGTGCTGGATTACATAATCAGATTCCAATAATTAAATACTTGATATTAGATTTCATTACATTTTAAAATACTCCTGATCAGACTACTACAGTTACTTTATAATTGAACACTTCATATTCACAAAATGGCAATAAAATACTCCTAATTCATTGATTCTCCCTGATTTTTTTTATATTTTACATTCTCCTTTCCAAAAGGACTATTGCTTAAATACATTTGTTAAATCGTCCAGTTTTGTGGAATTGAACGCACAGAAAACTGAGAAATCAAACAGTATAAACAAATAGAACAAATTTAGTTAAGTGTTTCATTTGGATTGTTTTCAATTTAAAATTATTTATTTCTTTTATTTATTTCATGTTCTTGATAAAGAATGGAATATTTTTATTTCTCTTTGTATTTTTGTCATTATGAAACAAGATTATCCTATTCAAGGCAAGGTACGTTTATTTCATACACAGTGGTAGATTAAAGAGCTTTAAAAAAAAAAAAATATATATATATATATATATATAAATAATAAAAAATAAAATATTTTTATTTTATATAAAAATATATAAAATATAATAAGAAATACTATAAAATAAAAATAAAATACTAAATAAACACTACAAAATAAAATAAAAATAAAAAAAATCTATAA